CGCTCACAAAGCTCCCGTCCGCGCCGGTGTGTCGGCGTTAATGAAACACGTCCACCGTTGGCAATTGTCCCGCCGCAGGCACGACAACGGCCGTCCGAACTGTAAAAGGGAGAGGCGCTAGCCGGCTAGCTGGCTGTATTCCACTCCGTTTCCATCAGGTTGCATCTAGCAAGCCCCGGGATTCGGCTACTCTCCGGCGTTTCGTGAATTTAGATGAGCCCGGCCTGTCCGGCTTAATTCGCGCGCACCTCATAAGAAGCGAGTCATAATCTCCCTCTCTTCAACCCCGGACGACCGCACACGCTCTATATTTTTGTTCCGTTATTGGAGTAACGTCGCAGCCGGTGACCGTCGCGCGTTTTTTTCCGGTGTAAAAATGTAACCGGTTCGTTGGTCCGGTGGTGTAAAAATACGGTATATATATAGTCTCTCTCCCTTGTATACGTCGGACCTTCCGTTGAGCATTAATCGTGTTTATATCGCGCGTTATGCGCTCGTACGATCGTACGAATACGGTTAATTATACGGTGGTATTTCTCCAGACGCGCCCTTATTTTTGTTTTTAATTTTCGCGAGAATATACGTCTCGCGTAACAACGCGGCGGTAAAATCAGTCACGCGTATCTTCCATTACGGTACGCCATTATTCACTTTTCTCGCGGCGGAGCGTATGTATGTATGTGACTCCTCTCTCTTCGCTCGTTGACGACTCTAATTGTCACGCGCACTCCCTCCCGCATTAGCCCGAGCCCTCATCCGTAACAAAACGAGCAAGTGTTTGATCGGATACCGGAAAACCCTCTTTCGGTGCGCTCGCGTTATTCGTTTCGTCCGAGAAACGGCGAGGAACGACGCGACCACGTTTCTCCCGTGGAAAAATGCTTGCAGAGAGCTCGGGTCACGTACAACGGGGCGCGATAACGTAGTCGCTCTTTTCCTCCCTCTCGCGCGCTCTCATCCCTTCTCGTTTCTTCATTCTAGTCTCACGCCGGTTCGTTCTCTCTGCCCGCGTATTCAAAGTGCAAGGAGCAAAAGGAAAGAGCGTATGCACAAAGATCACATGCCGCCCAGATTGAGGCTGCAGGGTAAACGTTCGTGTTCTCCTGTACTCTTTCCTTCCGGGTGCTCTGTCTCTTCTCCGCAGCCGGATCCTGCTTGCTCTCGCGCTTTGAGCAAATCTGCGTGAAAATGGGAAGAACGTCTGCCACGGAGGGAGGGGGTTCAACGTATATATATATATATATATATATATATATATATATATATATGTACATGCCGCGATGTGCACGAGCGAGAGCCTAGATGGGAAAGATGGATATATACAGGGTGTTCGGTAACTAACGGACCAATGATTAAGGGCGGATTCTCTGGCCAATTTGGAGACGATTTTTTCTTAGCAAAAATATTGAGAAGTCAATAATTTACGTTTTGGAGTTAAAAGTCTAACATAATTACATTCTTCGGTTAATTTCAGGTAGAGTTTACTGTAATAAAATTTTCATTTGAGGCTTAGTTATAAAGATACATAATGACAAATATTGGAAAGTTGTAAAAAATGATGACCTTTTTCGACATTTTCGCTGAGGAAAAATCGTTCCCAAATTGACCAAAGAATCCATTTGTTGGTCCGTTAGTTACCGGACACCCTGTATATATATATCTATATATATATATATATATATAGAGAGAGAGAGAGAGAAGGGAAAGAGTGGTGAGAGATAACCGTGGCGAATATCAGATCTTCTGATGACAGCGGGGTCGAATAACGAGGCCCTCGCTATCCACGATAGGACACGGCTCGGAGTTGAAAATTACTTCCGCGTCACGGAGCTTTTCCTGCGGGGCTAGACGACGACCCTCCGACGAGTACCAGCCGGAGGTGAGTTATGATAGTCTATCGAAGTAAGTTCGTTACCGATGAGATTCTTGATTTTCTATTTATCGGGAGACCCCCGTAAGGTAGCTAGGTAATAAGTCTCTCGCGTAGCCGTTGCCTCTCTCGTTCTCTCTTTCGAGCGGGCGAAATTAGTTCTTGAAGGAAATATATTGCGGATGCCGGAGTAAATACTGAAAAATCCCCGCCGCGCTTTTTAAGTAATCTTTTTTCTATTACGACCGGCAATTTGCGACGGGGCGCGATAAATTCGCGCGGGCGAGTGAATTTTAACACTTATACGCGGTAATATCATGTCGCGACGTTGAATAATGTTCTACGGAAAAATGGAGTGCCGGATGATGAAGCTCGCGCGCGAGAACTCAAGAAGATGATTACTGAAAGAGAGCAAATGGAGAATATTTATGAATGAAAGAATCGCGAATCGGGAAATCAACACACAAGGTTGGAAATGAGATTTTCGATTAACCAGAGAAAAAAGGAGGAAAGCGCCGATAGAGAAAGAGGGTTTTATTTCAGGGGCTGCTGAAAACGTGATACTGCGATGCATTTTCTCACGAAACTCATTGATCTCACGTTATTATTAATAGGTTTTTCCGCGTGCATTCTCTGCGCATAATGGAATAAAAATGTAATAGTGACTACCAGAGAAAAAAAAAAGAGAGAGAGAGAGAGAGAGAGAGAAAAGTGAGAACGCACACGCATCTACGGATAATATTTGAAAAATGAACCGTCCTCGTTATACGATTGATTATGACTTACTGCACGGTTTCGGCGAGCGGAATAAATGCACTCGCTTTATTGTGCATCCATTAAAATTCCATTTACCAATGGTAGCTTATGGCTCGTAGGATAATAGCTGTAGCAGCACTCGATGTCCGATAGAATAGCGTTAACTACCGATTTATCGTTTTCAGTTATGCTGTTTGATCGATTTTAGTGCAAAATTTCTTCGACGTTTTTCAACGATTCATGAGTTACTTTGTTACAAAAATTTACGCAAATCTTAGAAAGATATTAGAACATATTAAAACACATTATAATTATTATATAAATACATCTCGCAATTCGATTAGCTTTATTATTCGCGTTTATGCGCGATTACTGTAATTTTCTTTTACTATTTTTCTAACAGATTTTTTTATTCTTTTTTATGATTTACGTAATTAATTGTCTTTACAGTTTCTTTTAATAATACATGTTATTTTCCGAAATCAATTAAAACTGGTTCTGGGTCGAACGACACTTATTTAACATAAATTTAAGACGTCTATAGAAATCTCTGCTTAGTTTCGTCGCCGCGAGCAAATCGTTTAACTGCTGTGATGTATTTTGACGGGCTAATGGATATCGCGTACGGATTATCATGCTAAAGAGACGTTAATTAACACGTCGCATCCAGTAATGGCCGTTCAACCGGAACAGAGGTTCTCATTTATATAATATTCGCATTGTGTACGGCATTTTCTAGATATAGGAACGATGAGAGTCGACAATAAAAAAATATTCCGCAACTATTATAAGTTTACATTTTGCATAGCATAGAATACTTTAATACAAAACTATAAAATCTGAGATAACGGAGACAATAATGCATACACAATGTGCGCGCAGATACTGAAAGAATAGAAAAGGAACAAGCGATATTTTATAAAGCTTTTTCATTCATTATTACGCTTATAAATAAAATCAAAACATTGTGGATTTTTAATTTTTAAAATTATGTTCATTTTTTAAATTATTATTATAATATTGTATCAAGTAACGTAGAGAATAAATATCTCCATAAAGGATTATTGAAAAAATAATCCTTATAAATTTCGAGAACGCGAATTATACAGAGCACTTTGAAAATTTGTTGAAATAATCGCATTTCAATAAATAATCTCACTGAAATAAAGAATGAAAAAAAAACGTAAAATTAAATCGTGCTTTTATTTCATAAAGTTAAAATCGTCATTCTATATTGTCGACGTGCGCATCTATAGAATTGGTAGACAAATAAAAATCTTGAAGTACATAAATCCTATGTATTCAAGAAAACTGTAAAATTGTGTGCGCGTTTTATAATCAGTCATATTAAAACTTTAATAAAAACGCGACGAAATGATTCTAACGCATTTGCGGATGAAATATAAACGAAATCGTTTTATCCTGGTATATCGGATTAAAAGCAGACGGCACCAGCTTTATCAATTTGTAACCGTGCTGAATAAGCTAAGAGAGGGAACTTGAGTTAAATCCAGGAAATCGAGCCGTTTCGTACGAAGTCTGCTAATTTCCCCTCGACATGTACGTAGTGTGTATAAGTGAAATAAGGACATTAATATCCAACTGTATAATAATTATAAATAGAAGAGGTCGGTAGATAGAATATATATAGATATATTATTATATCTAAAAGAGCAAACATGCATTCGCGAAAGCGAACAAAAGATTAACACGGCAGTATTATATAGATACTATAAGATTAGTACAGCGCATAGGCTGCATTTATATTAAACTGCTATATCGAGCAATCCATCTTCACAATGTGACATGGAATGATGAGATTTATTGGCAGAAAATAAATTTCGTTTTGCGATTTTCCAATATTTCATCTTCAATTCCCGCCGCATAACGCTCGCGTGAAATTCACGCGTCGAAAAAGAATCGAATTTCGGCGCAGCACTTAAAATAAAATTCAATTGAAAAGTCTAAAGATTTTTTTTTTAGTGTCATACGCCGAAATATACTGCAATATCATATCTGAGCGAATGAAATGGATATGCAATTATTATACGCAAAAATGAAAATGGAAGAGAGAGCGCGACCCTTCTTCGGAGATTTTTCTATTGAATTTGTTGTATATATGTAATTAAAGAATATTTTTAAAAATCGTACAGAGTAATTTGTTCGAAAAATTCGTTTGAAAAATCCAGCTTATTAGCTTCGTGAGAAAACTAGATGTATACTCTTTAAATGGACTTGCTCGCGTGTAGTCGCAGATAGAGAAATTCAAGGAATCACCTAATATCTGCAGATGTGCAGTCAATTCCGGCTTACGGCTCCCAGGAAAGAAATCTCGGGCGCGATTCGATCGATGAGGTAACCAGATGGTACCTACCTCTATGCCACGTCGATTCCTCCATCGCACCCACTTGTTGAACCCCGGCCGCCAATACTCGACAAAGTACTCCTCCGTGTACTCGACCCCGTGACCATTGCCGAATCTGCCCTGCGTTCTGGCGGACGTCAGTAAACGCGGAGTGTGCAGATTCACCTCGAGGTATTCCTTGCCCTCCTTCGTTACCATATGTTTCGGACACCACGCGCCGCCACCTTTGTCTTGTCGTAGCCTGGAAAATCGAAGAATAATACACCGCGAGTTATTACGGGCGCTCTTGAACAGAGGTACGTCGCGTGAAGACGCGCGATCAGGAACGTATATACACATATATGCATACGTATATATAGGGAACGCGACATTCGCGTGACAAACGCACAGGCACGTTATGCTTTTCTAGCCGCGCAAGTCATGACGGCCCGTCATCGGGGCAAAAAAGGAGGCAATAAAAATTATATATCCAAGCAGAGGAGGTGTATATATCTTGATTATCGCGGATTTATTATGTAGCTGATATAATTAATGAGTTTCCCCGGCCTGGTTTCCTTTCAAGATCAACGGCCGCCCGTGTGTAAATTAATGACGGGGCGATCGATTTATGGACGATCTTTGAATCTGAGCACCCTCTCTGCTTTGGGGCTCGCGCGGTATTGATTATGAATAACTTATTTTGCAGCGAAGCTTTTATCGCGATAGCAGCTTCTTGTGGACAGAGGAAAATGGAAGTAATTTTTTTAGGACTCTTGAAGTCTCTCACGCAAAGGGGAGAACATAGAGTAGTGATTAGTGGATTCTAGAAAGAAAACTCGTGATTATGAAGGACTTAAGTGTATCAATTAATTAAAAAATAAAATATTGAAAATAATATAATTACATTAGAAAAGGTATAGTTATGATTCGTCTGTTTTCTACAACTATTTATGTCTTCCATAGCAGATGTTTGTGATTCAATGTTTGCTTTGAGATCTGTTTATAAAGCTAACGAGATTTCAAAAATTAAGAATATCAGATAGCAGCAGCAGTGTACAGAAAGATTATTGATTCTGATAGAGTCAACAATGTTCATGCCAAAGGGAACAGACCTAAAAGCAGCTATTTCATAAATCAACAGTATTTTTCCGATCTGATTGTTTCTGCAATCAGCATGAGAAATTAAATTATCCTGGAACTTTTGCTTCGAAAAATTTCTAAATGCATGATATATTTATGCGTATCACGTATGTGTAAAATACATTTTATATATATATATATATATATAAGTAATAATCCTTCTTCATGTACATTGATAAATAATTCAAAATATATACTTTATAAAAATAAAAAAAAACTGATAATGCTGACCCAGAGAATACATAAGAATCCGCGCGCGCAAAACTAGTTTCTTAATTCTCGAAAGTTTGAAATTTGGTAGCACATTATTTTAGCAACAACTAAACTTTGCTACATTAAATCCGAGAAATACATCTTCCGTCAAGAGTCGCGTCAAGAACTGACAGTGTACTAATTAAATCTCAGAACGAAACTTTGTGCAAATTTGATGAGAAAGTTTATGTAAGAGGCATAATCGCATTATTATCAGGTGTTATTTCCGACATACCTTGTCGCGAGCACGCATGGAGAGCCATTGAAATATACGCACGGTTCTGTCACAAAGGGAGAGAGAATCTCTATGGAAATATTTCAGCTGGTTCGGTCGTGAAGGACCGGCATATATATACATATAGGCGGCGTGCCCGCATGTAAACAATAGACCGGGCGAAACCGGTTGAAAGCGTTTGCGGTTAATTAGGCGGCAATGCTGTTAACAATGTCCTGGCGAGCTCTCCGTAACCTTGCGTTGCAACGCAATTCGTAGTTACGCGGCCCGGCAAGCATGGGATCTCGTTTAAATAAAACCGCGCCGTTGCTTTTATGACAGCTTGAGAAGATGCTAATAATCCTATGATAAATAAAAACACGTATCCATCAGTAAGGGATTGTGGTCGTGGACGGAAAGATAAATTTCTATAGCGACGTTAATTGTCATAAATAAATGCGACTTTACATTTAAATAGAGAGCGAATTGTTTTATAATACAATACTCATTCATCATTTGCTGCGAATTGCGGTTGATTTATTGAAATTTCTATTCATCGTTATTTGTACGGTTACACATCGATAATAAGGCTATTTCCTCTTTTCACATTTATTTACGGTCGCTATTTTCCATTCATTTCAATTCATGATAACCGATTTTAATTCAATTTCTGAGATAAAACAAGCTGAAAATTCTGCCGTATAATTTCAATATTAATATATATTTTATTACAATTATATTACGATATATGTATAGTAAGAAATAAAAAATGTTCTCTAATTTCATCTTATTTGTAAATTTAAAAATAAACTAATTTCGAAAAAATTTTAAAATAAGAGGGTCATTCTTTCATTATTTTGAGAAACAACTTCTAAAGGCGTAGGTACAATATTGACCGTGTTGTAGCACTTCCGCTCGTTAATTGCGCCATCAACGTTTCTAGATGCTCCGTAAATTGGACATAAAAATAAAAGAAAGCGTCGTTCCGGGTATCGTAAAACTTTCCTTACGTGCCTTCTTCGAATCTGAAGGATTCATAGCATAGAAATGTCGACCACCGTTGTTAAGCGATAATAAAGAAGAAACATAAGAGCAAGTTTGAAAACGCATTACTTAGAGTTTCTTAAGTCGCAAAGTGCTTAATCGGAAACGTCAGTTTTTATGATGTCAGTTTGAAAGAACAATGAATTTGAAAGTATGTATATATATGTATATTTACATTGACAGAAAAATTTAAGCATTCAAAAAAAGAAAATAGAAAATTACCAAATTTCATTGTTGTTATTTATGCATTTTCCTGGATGTTTAAATTTGTTTGTTAATGAATGTATTATTATCATGTGATGTCATTTAACATCTGGTCCAATTAAATGATAAAATATATCATAAAACTCGATGGCTTCCTGAATAAAAGCTTCCTTCGAAAATTGTGTGTATTCTATTATATGTAATAAAATATATAATAATATTATATATAATAATATTTGTTCTATATAATATCAAATGTTACAATTTATTTCCGGATGCACTTGCGAAAAATTAAAAATAATGATAGCAAGATGCAATCATCGAACAGCTTCGATTTCTTGAAAAATAAATGCGGAGTGCACGATCCTAATATATATGTATAGGAAGCCGATAGTCTTTTTCAGTACAATTTACGATAGCCAACCGACGAATCGACCAGCCGTTCCACTTGGATAGCCCAAAGTAGTCTCGTCGAGAAATACACAAGGGTAAGAGAGCTTGGCCCACGGGCCGACCAAAAGCATTACGACGCCTCATCAGTCGAAAAGTGCATTAGCAATGCTAATGACCCGCGATCGTTACCGCCACACGCCGCAGTTACCATCCACGTTGCTTCCTCGCGTAGCACGGAAGTTTTGTTATTCGGAAGTGGGCCACGTCGAATGGGAGGGAGCTCAACCAGGAGCCTTAAGGCGGATGGTAGAGAAGAGGGAGAGATGGGTGGCTCGCAATAATTTTCGCGCGACAATATCCTTGCAACGTCACGTAGGTATGCGTCCATTGTTTCATTCGGTTAAAACTCCGGCTGATACATTGTTACGACTGACTCGACCGGCCGTAGAACAGAATTTCTCGTTTGCCTTTTACGCGAAATTCTCGTGGCTATTAACAAATTGATGCGTCAAGTTATTCTCTCGTTCCGACCTCGCGTTTGCGGATTTAAAAAGCGCTCCTTGCGAAATATATCCATCGTAATTCTGTAAAATGTTCGACCCGTAATCCATTCAATTTAGGTTATTGTTTCATCACGATAAATATAGAGAATTTATATAAAAGAAACCATTTCCAGTCAGTAACCGGTGAAAAATTATATCGCATACATTTGCGAATGTAATATATGTATATAATGTAAGTGTACAGTAAATATTGAGAACCGGAGAAAATATATTACCAGAATTAAATCACGTCGATAACCAATTTTTTACAATTTATGAACATCTCTTTGCAAACCTTTTCATTCGTAATTTTTTACTACAATTAAATCATTGTTCAAAGTTATTTTCCTATATAAAAGTATTCCTCATTCTAGCATTTAATTTTTCGGAAAACTTTAATGTTCCAGATATAATAAAACGTAACGCTGATCATTTTCGACCTCTTCTTTAAGGCATATTTATATTCAGCTCGCGCACATACGAGTCCGCTTGTTTTCTTCTACATATTATCTCCCGACGTATCCGGCTTTACTCGAAGCTCTCCTCGTCGTCTCGAATAGTTGGTAAAAACTAATTAAATTTTCTCCGCGGTATAGCGATTTCGATGATAACCGTTATTACGTTTTCGGGAGACCGCGCGGAGAGAGAAATGCGAAATGAATAAAATGACAACACGTTTGTACGTATTGCGCGACATTTTACGACCGTTTTGAGGCTAATCTCCACGCTAATTAGACGCGAAATGAGCAACAATTACGTCTCACCTGGTGAAGGACAAAAACGCTAGCTATGTGCAAGCGGCACGAGCTATCTCTGGAGACAAATGCTTCCAGGCGGACTACAGAGATTTCGCTTGAAAATATGTCACTGGTTGAACGCGACGATGAACGCTTCAAGACAAAAGACTAGGATCACTCGCAGATGTGAAATAACGCTTTTAGTCCAAGATGTACAGTTTCTTCTCTTTTTTATGTTACACGCGCTTTGTTTTCGGTTGAATAACTTTGTATGGCAAAGTATGATAAGAATAATGTACTTGTAGAGTACAGAGACTGACATCTCTTCTAGAATAATTTATATTAATTTATATTGCAATTATTATTTGATACATGCGCGTAATCTAAGCAAACACACAGTAAAAAGCTATTTCTTTACTTGTATGTATCAATCAATTATTTATTTAAAACACATAAATATACATGTTTTGAAAAAGATTTTCTTATATTAAATAAATATTTTTCACATCAAATTAATATTGCTATTTGCTTACATACATATATATATATATAATTTGCATATATATAAAATAACATTTATGAAATTGAAGTTTCGGGCTGACTTTCATGTCATTCCAGTCACTTTACCCGTCATTCATCAAAATATATAAATTTGCCCCTTATAAAAAAAATGCCGCTATCGCGTAGCAAAAATATCTTTGCTAATGGAACTCCGATCCTATACGTGCCGTCACAC